ACCCTACTGTAAGTTTGTTTTTTGTATTTATTTAAGTCGAGATGGAGGTAAAACTTGGTAATTATTATTATTTTTTTTTTTTGTTTACAGATCAAGGCTAAGATGCTGAAGCCCAAGAAGAAGCCTGCAAAGAAAGCAGCACCTGCTAAACCTAAGGCATAATTCAAAAGAGACTGGAGTTCAGTTAATAAATCAGTTGTTTCAAAAAGCAAGAGTCAGATGTGTTATTTAAAACTTTTTAATTGACAAGAATGATTTCACATAAGCTAAACGATTTGCAGTGTCTGGGAAAGGTAAAGAGGAATATCAAGCACACAGGTTTAGCAGCACTTTTTTTTTAAAGAAGAATTTGTCATTAGAAAAAAGATGGCTTTTCAAGCAGGCTTGCAAGGTAGCCCAAAAATGTTCAATATATAATTTAACTTGACATCTGTGTTTGTACATTAAATGTACTAAAATTGCACATCTCGTTGCTTTCTTGGGAAACAGTTTAACAGTACACGTTTGAGAATCTGGACTATGGCTTTGTCGTTGATGGGAGGGGGGTGGTCTCACATGGCGGTCCCATGGGTGGGTGTTGCAGGCTGACTTAATCCGATGGTGCTGCACAGCCAGCCAGCGAAGTCCACCTCCTCTGCTTCTGATGTTTTGATAAAAGGATGCACCTGAAACAAAAAGTTTTATAGATTAGGAAAAAAAATTCCTAACTTTGGATACAAAACTAAAAATTGCACACTTACCATCAACTGCTTCAAGTCTGCCCTCTCTGCAGGATTCTTAATCAAGCTGCAATATTTAAAACGTGTAAGTAAAGAACCATCAGGGAATAATGGATTTTATTAAGTCAAAAACATTCCTTACCATTTGTTAACAAAGTCTTGGAATTCTGAGCTAAATATCCCAGGCAGTTTTGGTGGAGGCTGAAAATAAAACTAGTTAGTGCAAATGATATTTGTCCATGAACATGGTAAATATTGAAACTCACCTCATTGACGATGTAATCAAGCAGCTCAAAAATGGCCATAGGAGGTCTGCTGTCTGAGCCGTATGCTGGAGAGTGAAACATACAGTATATAAGGTAATCAGTAAAGATTAATCAGAATAAACCAAAGTGCTCCAACTTACAGCTGCCAGGTCGCCCAGGGGGCCGTGGTTTGGGGAAGGACTCGCTGAAGGCCGCCTCCCCTTCCACTGGAAATCCAAAAATCTGTTCCAGTTCCTTGGCATCAGGTGGGGGGATGGGGAAGCGTCCGATGGCCATTTCAACTAGAGACAAACCCATGCTCCAGATGTCTGACTGAACGGAGTAGTGGGTGCCCTGTAGGCGCTCTGGCTGCAAAACAACACATTCATCCGTTATAACAGAAATTCCTGGCTTCTGAATCAGTTGAAATAGTCCAGACAAAAGAAACTGAGTTGCTTTGTGGAAAGAATCTTTTATTTTTGAGTCCTTGACTCACCGACATGTACGACCGAGTTCCCACGAAAGAGTTGGCCATGGAGTCTATGAGCTGTCCGCTCACTCCAAAGTCACACAGCTTGATCTCACCGCGAGAATTCACGAGGATGTTAGAGGGCTTGACATCTGAAAGACAAATATCTAGAGTTCAGGAAAACACGGAGCGAATCAACATCTGACAAATGACAGGATTCACGTCCAGTTAAATAAGTTAAAATGAGAGATCCTTCTGAAAGTGACTCCTCAGAGCTGCATGTCTCCACAACCATCCTGTGAAAATACAGATTCAACATAGATCCCATCTTCCTGTGCTTTTAGTTCAAATGAAGTACAACTCCTCCCATCTCCCAGATCTGTTCACYGCAAAAGTTTTACAAAGCTCTCGTGAAGCCAGTTTCATTAAAATGATAAATATCTTCACTTGTGACTCCTTTTTACTTCAAGGTTCTTACAGAACTACTGTTGGTGTGCTTCTGTTTAAAACACTTTATCTTCTACTCCACCTATGCAGTCTTTTTTCTTCTTGACAATCCCACACCAATGAGCATTTTAGAGAAAACGGAGGAGTTCAGTGACTCATGCTGAATCGTGTTACTGACCTGTTGCCAAATAGACTAGTTACTTTTTATAATGCATAACTTTGGCTCATTTTTGAAATTGAATGTTTACTTTGTACTAGTTCTTGTTGCTGTTTTGCAAAATAGGTGGTAAATGAAATAAAGACCAACCTCTGTGCATGATCTTGTGCTTCTCTCGCAGGTAGGAAAGTCCTTTAATGACCTGTYAAAGGAAATATTGCATCTTAGCACTCTTACAACCAACTGTTATGAACAGCAAATGTCATACCAGTCTGGGAAAACRCATATATAAATACATCTAGAACTTAAAATTGGTAGGAAGGGTATTGGAAGAACTCACAGCGATGCTGACTTTGCCAAGTATCTGCTCTGGGATCTTCCCTGCTTTCTTCAACGACTGGTCCAGAGATCCTCCATCCTATGAGCAACAGGAAATGCTAATACCAACAGGAGTGGACATGCGAGGGAGGAATCAGTGTTGTATAAAGTACCTGAAAGTGATACTTGAGTAAAAGTACAAGTATCTTATCAGAAAATTAATTTGGTAAAAGTTCAAGTCTCCTC